ATAATAATATCATTTATCACCTAGCTATAGCTAGGTATATATTGAATTGATATGAAATTTTTCTAGTTATAATATTTAATCTAATTTCTCAACAATATAAAACAATAACGTCTACACAGTTGCCACAATTTGTAGTTTTCATATAATATATATCATATATATTCCAAATATAAACAGGTAATCAAAAAAATTTAAATAAGGGAACTATGTCTTTTAGGTACCTATTCAAGAAAAGGCATGTTCAAAGAACAAAGTATAGTTACAACAAGTACCTACTCAAAATGTGTTTATTTAGTTGTTTAACTTAAAATAAATGGTAAATTCTATCACTTCTTAATTTTTATCATAATAGATATATCTACGATAAGCTTATAAAATAATAACAATACATTTTTTTACTATATATATGTTTATATTTATATTTGGAGTTTGAACAGATGTATATAACTATAATAATATGTTAACACCATATTTATATGATATAATAAAAACAAACTGTAGGTAGGTACATTTCGAAAATAAAAATGTTGAACGTTTCAATTCAAGGTTATTGTAAAAAAGTTTAAAAATATTATTATTTTTATAACAGAAACATTAACGTCAAGTAACCAAATAGTATAGATATCTAATTTGATGGGTTTATTTACCTATTGAACAACTATGTTATAGTTTATTATAACTATATAGATAGGTAGGTAATGAATAAACGACCATTATCATTTGAAAGTGGATGCCTGCCAGCGCTCTGTAAATTATGCTAATGGCTCCAGAAATGAAAAACAACTATTTTAAAAACGAATTTTTGTTTGATTTCTCTTATATTATTTTATATATTGAACGAGCCGGATACATGATAGGTAATTAGATAGGATTTATATAAATTCCAACTTCCAAGCCACGGAGCGGGATACCTATATGTATGTACCTACCTATTGGCTTTACGAAGATTTTAGTTCAAAATACTATGCTCTTAGAAAATCTGTACGTCTACCATTGATATTTTAGGAATATCTTCAATAATAACTGTGCCAGGACACATTAACATATCCATCCAGTTATGAATGATTGTGATTTGTGAGTAAGCATAATATATAACCTGCACTCTGTCTCTACAGCTTGTATTATGTCGTGTAATGTGCGGGTGACGTGACGTTCTTTGGTTTTAAGTAATAAAAACGAACAGTATAGTCAGTATATAAGTACCTAACCTATATAATATTTAAATGCTTGGGCACTATAATATAGTGTCGGTTTTAACTTACAACTTACAACTCGTTTAGATCAAAGAATGTTATATGTAGTGATGTAAGACATAGGTACCTACATTTATTGTAAAATAAATATTTATAGGTACCTAGCGGTGTACCGTGGTATAATGCGTATACCTACGACTTACGTGTGCAATTCTCTTCGCACATCGAACTGATCGACTTTCTGCAATAGCTAGTGCAGACATGCAGTAGGTATTCTATAAGAACGCGATCACTATATCGCTATCACTATCGCGAGATACTAGATTGATGATTGGGACTATATTAATATTATTGTATGCTATTAATAACTATAAATTATGTAATATGTATTTTATGATATTATAATTATATACCTAGTTTTGAGTAGTAAGTAGTTTACTTACTACACTTAGTACCAGTATAGTGCATCTAGGATTTTTTCAAGGGGGGGATATACAATTTTTAATAGACATTCAGTATACACATATTATATTCATAGGTACATTACTATATATTTAGGTACCTATAATATACATGTTGAATTGTGTACAAAATTTGGTATCCGGGGGGATTTGACCCCAATACTCCTTCCTCTTGGATACGCCACTGCTAAGTGCTAAGTACAAATACTCCTATTTCCAAATTGTTTTTTTTTATAACTGTGATTTATTTCCGTGAATAAGAATTATTATTGATGAAGATATAGAAATTGTCGGTTTTTTTAGATTCCGAGTGAAACGATGAATGTATTGATTTTACAATGATATGTGTTTTTTTTTATTTTTTTGTGTCTGTTATCACCTTTTAGGACAGTAAAAATGCTTGGATTTTCTTCAACAGTATTTTTTCTGATAGGAAAGTGAATCTAGTTGGTACTTTGGGGGATCAAAAGTAAAAATTTTCCAGTGGTTTCAAAAGCGCCTTGAAAAACAACAGAAAATTAAGGGAAAATGGGAATTTGTACGCAAAATCGGTTTTGGAAAAAATATATTTTTAAAATCTGTAGATTTTGGTTTTTGGTGCAACTCAAAAACAAATGACTGTAAATACATGAAATTTTGACTGAATGTTTATATATTAGCATTTTCTTTACACCATAACATTTTCCAAATATTTTGACTTATTTTTAGCTGTTTACGGACATTTTCAGTTTTCTTTTCTATAAAAACAAAAAAATTGTATTTGTTTGTTAAAAAAGCTTGAAAATTTAATGGAAGGCTCCTAGTATATTGTTTCAAAGGCAGATGAAAAAAATTAAAAATCCATAGTCACAATTTTTTTTTTATTAGCATTTAAAGTTCAAATATTGACAAAATACGTAAAAATTCCGAAAATTTGCAAATTATTTTGAGTAAGAAATTCTTTAAAAATTTCTTTTTAAATTTAAGATTTGAAAATGTAGTACAAGATTCCTCATAAGTTTGTCTACCTTTATCAAAAAAAAAAAATGTCCACAAGAAACTCAAATTAAATTTTTACAAGCGTTTGAAATTCATATTTTTACAACATTTGATATTCACTCGATTTCTCAGTAACAATTTTCTTATTTTATTGTAATTAAAAAACAAATGACTCTAGATGTTTGAAAATTTCACTGAATGTTTATATTGGCATTTTCTATACACCATACAATTTTGAAAATAATTTTTTTTTTAATGTTTATTTTTAAATGCAATCTACGATCTATACCACATGGAACAATAAGTAGATGTGAATGAGATTAGTCAATAGTCATATACAAATAATTTTAAAAAAATACATCATATCCTTAATAATATTTGTACATAATACGTGAACAATTTTTGAGGAAAGCAGCCCCTTTTGACTCGCCTTTTTGAGCTGTTTACGGACATTGTCAGTTTTCAATATTTTTAGTTTTTTTTTCTATAAATATCAATACAATTTTTTTTTTTGGGTAAAAAAGCTTGAAAATGTAATGCAAGGCTCCTGATATATTGTTACAATAGCAGTTGAAAAATATTAAAAATACATAGGCACAATTTTTTTTAGAAGTATTTAAAGTTCAAATTTTGACAAAATTTATCAGATTTAAAATTTAATAATAATTTTTTAGTTAAAAATTTATAAATGTTTAACTTTTATAGCTAAGGATTGAAAATTTAAAACAAGATTTTACGTGAATAGGTTATATTATATAAATGACTTAATTCATTTTAATATCATGAAATATACATTTTAATATCATTGGCTGACTTTTCGTTTTCACTCAGAATCGTTTTTCTTATGCAATGATATTATATCATTGAATTCAAATTTAACAATATCCATTACACATTACAGTCGCCCACTTGTAACCTACTGTACGGCAGACCAACTTTTTCAATATGACACCCCTGCCGAATGAGGCAATATCCTATAGAATTTAAAAAATATTTTAATTGTTTGGTCGCAAATATAACGCGTGATACGGAACGTACATAATAATATTATATCTAGGAATGGACAACTATATATATATGAGTATATGACTACGCGTAAGTGATGATAATTAAATGACAGTTTACTATATAGTATATATTATAAACTACGAGTTTCGTTATATAAACATACAAAAAGTGTTCGCAAATAATGAATACAAATAATTTAATACTTCATCTTAGATTGTCTAAGGTCTAACTGTATAATATATGATATAGACATATAGGACGGAAATGGGATTATTATAGATAACGCCATACATTCATACAGATAAATTATAAATTATTAGGACAACTTACATCTATATGTTGAGAATAGTTTATGATGGATGACCTATAAAGGAATTAAATAGTTTTTAAACAATGGAAGAAATCGGAGAACAATATAAATACGTAAACCTAATTTTGTTTAAATTGTTACATAAATAAATAAATAGGTATCTAATACATGATCAATATCGATATATAATAATAATAATAATAATAATAATATTTTATTAAAGGAATAAAATTCCAATTTACAATAATATCTTAATGACAGTTGCAGGTGCATGCTGAGTTATGATAAAAATGCATACAAATAATAGAGAAAAAATATAATATATACTTATAAGAAATTAAAAATTTGACAATTTATTATTTAGATAATTATTTAATAAATTTAGCCGAGCTGCCGCAGTGGCGGATACAAGGAGGCAGTATTTTTAACGTCATTTATTATAATATTCAGCTAAACAAAAAGGAAAATTCGTACCCACCCCCCCCCTGGGTGACTTCTGCATCCGTTACTGTGCTGCGGCTGCCGTGTTGGTGAGTGCGACCATAGATTAAACCATAAAGATTAGAGATTTATTATTTATTTTATTATTTATTCTAGTCTTCATGGATTAAACACACATGTATGTTTAATATATAGTGCGACTATAACTAATAAGTAATAACTAACAACTAATAACTAATATTACTCTATATTGCGGAGTGTCCGACGCTGCAGCGGATAGCGGTTTGCGACATGCGTGATGCGTAGTGAGTGGATTGTGATTTATTTTTATTTTATCTCTTATCACTCCGGGAGAACTCCGATATCCGTATCACTTTATCGTGCTATCACATCAGCTATGGAATATTGGAATATTCGTACAACACATGGACAATGAATATTGAATAGCCCGTTTGCTGCCTGTTCTCAGTAGGTCTACTTAATAATTACTTGACGAAACTACGAAAGTGTACGAAAAACGAGTTTTCCTTATATCAAATAACAAAATACGAACAAATTTAATATCCAAGTACTACATACAATTTATAAGTCTTAAAAAAACTATTCGAAATGGCTTCAGCGTCAGTGTCTAAAGGAACATTTCAACCGGTAAGTTTTTCAACTTGTATTGCAATGATAAAAGTTGTTGGTAGCAACTATATACTTGAAATAATATATTATAGAGTTTGGGAAAGATGTGGTGGGTGGCTTAAGAAAAATAAATAATAATTATATTTTGCTAAATTATGTTTTTTTGTCGACACTTAAATGTGTTTATTTTGATTTTCAAGTCTTAGAACTCGTATAGGTGAATAACTTATTTTTCTAGATGATAATAATTTGATTACACTACTTATATGACTCAATTATATTATTTATAGATGTATCTACATTGAATTATTAACCAACAATACTACTGAGCATACATTTTTTAGTTATTTACTTATTTATGTTAATATAATTGTTATTTAATATTATACCTTATGTTTATACTTTGTATTGATAAATAGGATTCTGATGTACACATTACATTTGAAGATCAACAAAAAATCAATAAATTTGCCAGGCTTAATGCACGTGTTGACGAATACAGGGATGAATTAAAATCGAAACAAGTAAGTCAAGTGTACTTTTCCTTATTATACCTTCAAATCTGATCATGAGTAATTAAAATTATTAAATCATAATTACTTGTAAACTAAGTATGTAAAGACACTAGTGCACTGTCTGATTATGTATCCAATTGTATTGTTTTGTAAATTAGATAGTCCCAGATCTCAGTAAGAATACTAAACAATTCAAAATGAAATTTAATCTAATTTGATTTATCATAAACATTAAAATACATAGCTATTTTGTTACACTGAAACCAACTTATCATGAAGATTAGAGATAAGGAGACTAAACTCCTATAGCCGCCCGTTCATAAAGTGGCCCGACAAAAGTCGTACGGTTATTCTGCCACCAGGAGCTCGTCATTCGATAGCAGTGCTACGTTTAACAATTATGTAGTATAATAGGGATTATGCACGTTTTTCGAATTAAACTTGATTTATTATTCCTTACAAATACTTTATGATCTGGATCAGATCCAAAGCATATATACAGGAGTAGGGGGATCCTGGTTAAAATTGGTTTCAATAATAAAAACCAAATATATATTATGATAATTAGCTATTAAACACATAGACAGAAATTGATATTTTGTATTTTTGCTCCTATACATTAAAAATGGTTATTGTTTTGTAGAGGGTATAATACTGGTTATGATCTAGATGTCAAACAACAAAAAACAATTGGATTAAATAATAAAAGTTTATTTAAAGCACCCAAAGTAAAAAAACAAAATATATTAACCTTATTTAGGAGTTATCATTCTCCTATTTAATTATTTTTACATATGTAGTTTAGAATACAAAGCTTTTAGCAAGATGGCATAGAGCTATACCTAGAAAAGATAAAATGCTCACAGAAAGCTGGTGTTGTGTGTGAATTGAATTTCGAAGAGAATGATATTCTACTTTTTGACGAGACTATCTTAAATATTGGAACAGTCAATACAATTAAAAGAATTAGACTCATGTTAAAAGCAGGGGTAGTTCAGTCTATATTTCAAAACTTTCCATTTTATTTAACAGAGCATATAATTAAGATAGAACCTCCCTTGAAAGGTGTATAAATATTGGTAAAAAGAGATTAAAACCAATTTTTTTTTAATGGTATTGAAATTTTATTTGATTGCAACATTATTAATACAATTTTATTGAGTATAAATGATAAAAATGAGTAATTGAAATATATACATTATTTAATAGCATACAAAGGGATTATGACATCAGAAAATAACATTACCAGGTAAAAAATGTGGTATGTAATTATCATTTTTCTAATTTACCTAATATACTATATTTTATATGAATATAAATAGTAATAGGTATTAATTTAGTTATTAAATAACGTTTCATACCTATACTTATTTTTCCATAATGTATAAATTACTAATACACTATACGCATAATGTGATGTACAGACGTACATTCTATAACTTCAAAATTATTGTTGGTTGTGAAGATCACAAATCACAATATGGATTTAACAAAAAGTATTGTACGCTTTTTTATTACAATGTGTAGTGTGTACACTGTTTTATTGTAAGACATTCAAATTACAATGAGACTTCAAAAAAAATGAAAAAACCAAGTGTAGTAGAAAATTATCAACATTTTAATTTATTTATTATTATTTATTGTTTTATTCTCTGGTATTGTTTACATATGTACCATGTTTAATTTATCATTATTCGTTAGACTCATCATTATAGAATATTTAGAATTTTTAACTTTTTTTTATAGCAAACACCGTTTGAACTTTAATTATATATTTAGGTATACTTTAACATTACCATTTAATGAATAAATAATCATAATTTATATTTCATTTAAATTCAAAAAAATCAAAAAGAATTTACAATATTATAAAATATGTATAATTTGTGGTAAAACTCTTGTATATATATTTTGGATCTGATTCAGACCATAAAGTATTTGTAAGGAATAACAAATCAAGTTTAATTTGAAAAACGTACTTAATCCCTATTATACTACTTGCTATTATTGTAAAATGTAGCACTGCTATCGAACGACAAGCTCCTAGTGGCAGAATAACCTTGGGACTTTTGTCGGAGCCATATTTTGTATACAGAGTTTGGTCTCCTTATCTCTAATCTTCATGCAACTCATATTTAATTAATCTTTTTAGACAACATTAAAGAACCTGGAAGATGCTACTGAAGAGTTAATGTTATTAGATGAAGACGATTGTCCAAATCTTCCATACCTTTCTGGAGAAACTTTTGTATATTATAATCTTGAAACGGCACAGGTATGCACAACATAATTTCTATAAGTATTTTAAACAATCATTTTTTTAACCATTTGATGTGATGTTTGCACAGAACAATTTAGAAGAATTGAAAAAAACTGTTGGAAAAGAGATGAAGGATATTGAAACAAAAATCAAAGATATATCATCTACAATGAGTGATCTAAAATCACATTTATATGGAAAATTTGGTAACAACATAAACTTAGAAGCTGAAGATTAAAAAAATATATGTATATTTCTTTAATAAAATGTTATAAAATTTCATATTAAACTAATAATGTAATCACATAAGTATATTTATATAAAAAAACTTATAACCCAGCTTTCAATAATTAATAAAAAAATATATAAACTTAATTTAGATAAAACTTATATTATAACTTCATTTATACATTTTATACCTATTAAAAAAAGAAAATAATATTAACACAATAACAATAATAAACAATTTAAATGTAACTATAAAATGTGTATTTGTATTCATTATGATAATTAAAAAAAAAAAAAATCCAGTTTAAAATGCTTTGGTCATTGGTTATTAGAATAACATTACTTGAAACCAAATATTTTGAATTCAAGTTCTTTTATGTGTTGGATATGTAGAACGATTGATACATAAAAATAATTGCTACAATATTTTACTGAAATTCTTAACAGTTAACGAAAACAGAATATCCTTTTTCTGTATTGACTTCATGTTTTTGTTGGAGTTTAAGGGATACAAAATTAAGGTTCATAAAAATTGTAGCCAATAGTAAATGTAAAAAATGACTAGCGTTTAAGCTCGTTAAATTTACTATAGAAATATTGAAATATGATTTTATCAAGCAAAAATGAAGAAACAGGCGTGTATTAGGATCTTATACTTAGTGGCCGTGGTGGACCGACAACATTAATGGTGTCACAGTACCACATACTAAGCACAGTAATTGTATTGGGTTAAAAGTATCACTGCCACCTCTAGAAGCTTTGACCATCAGTTCTGGAAGTACATGAACTGTAGCAACGTACAAAAATGTTCCTGCGCTAAACAACATGGCAGCTCCGGTGGCATTCATGGATGATAATGTTTCTTTACTTTCCTGAAATGTATAATATCAAAATGTATCACCACAATAGTTCAAAAACTGTATCAAATGGGTTATTAAATATCTGTATCAAATGTCAAGTACCTGTCCTATGCAAAAGAAAGTGAGTAGTGCACCTAAGGGCGCTGCCATAGAAAATACTAACAGATGTCTACGTATTCTTTTTTTGTCAAGTCCGTGGTGTAATAGGATGGTGACTAAACCAAAGGCAGCTGGTGCTTTATGTAACATTATTGCGATAAAGACTATCATTTCCACTTCTGTTTGAGTCGAGGCAGCTGCAGCACCCAAAGCAATACCATCAGCAGCAGCATGCACTACAAGACCTAAGGTAGCTGTCATGCTACCTGAGTTGCGGCTGGCAAATCCGGCTTCTACATCTTAATAAATAAAAAATATTAGTCCTCAAAAATAAGTTTTTACCAGCAAACAAATTTAATTAGTGTTGGTTGTTGGGTCATGTTTAAATACTAGCCTCTTGTATATTTTGACGACAGCTGATCAACTAGCAACATTAGTGTAAATCCTAATACTAATGTAACTCCAATCACTGAATGAAAATTCACATCACTAAAGTCAACAGCGACCGTTATATTATCAGCACCTGTAAAAATCAATTTTAATAGTAAATGAATGAGGTATTATTAACATGAATGATTTAGATAAAATAAATAATAGTAAATCTTTAAAAGATAGATATGAACTCGTAGAAATTATGGTTAATGTTTCATTAATTTGTGTTAATTTGTAAGTCAGAATGAAAAATAATACCTAATTTAGAAAATGCTTAAGTATAAAAAGTGATATTCATAAGGCTAATGGGAATATGGGAAGATCAATATATTATATAACATTATCCAAGCACAACTTTGTAAAATAATAACAAGTTTGTTATTGCTGCATTTAACTTATAATAATATAATCATACAAAAAACATTCAATAATTTATATTTTAAAACAGAAGAGTAATTTTCTATATTAGAAAAATATTAATCGCAATACAATAGATACACTCGTTTAGTGTGCTATACCTGAAATAAAAGGGTATTGTTCAGTCTGAAATCTGAATGATTAGAGAAACCTTATGTAACTAATTGTATAAAAACCTATAAGACTCAGATCAATAACTAAATATGAAGACTGAAAGAATGTTAGTGCAGATTTCCACATCAGGAGGGATGTCTCGCTTATGAGATCTGCATCCTGTGTTCAAGATTATTAATTTTTTTATTTCAAATTTAAATTGGATGATAAAAAATTTATTTATTTTCCACGGACCAATCATAATCAGTAGATTTCAGTTCTAAAATTGACACCATTGAGGCTCTGAACAAAACTATTATTCAACCATCAATTATAATTAGGTGTATTATAAATACATATTATTATGTTTTATAATAATTAGTATTCAAATGTTATATTACCCATAAATATTATTTATTAATTATATACATATACATAACGTTGCATATTATGCATAGTATACGTTTTATAATTTTACCCATTAGGTTATCAGAACTTCTTAAATTTTTTTAGATAGTGTCATTCTTTTGGACATGGAAATTCGGTTATTGGGGAAGCAGATTAACAGAATGTGCTTTAGTGTAAACAATTTGTACCATCCTATTCGGGATGTATAGATATATTTTATGTTGGTTATTTTACATATTTTTCTGATAAATTAATGTTATCAAAACTTTATATGCTGGTATAACCAACTGTATACATTGGTAAGTACAATTTCTACTAATATTATCAAATACATTCAAATACACTTCAATTAAAGCAAACGTATACAAAATGTCGTGAAAATACATACAATCTGATAATAGTATCTGGGGGGAATCCGCCTAACCATCAGTAAGCCAGATAGGCGTCAGAGCTCCCAGTGTTAGGCTGTCTTCCCAAAATTAAAATCAAAAGATGATTAACAAGTGTTGTTCTTTATTCATTAGGTAAATACCATAATTACTCAATGAATAATGTTGTTAATGTATTCCATATTATGCATCATACAATTATCTTAAGTTTAATGAAGTGATTTACAGTAAAACTCGCTTAAGATGCTCTTTAAGGGACCAGCTCTCTAGAGAGTTTTAAGCGGGAAAGCATCTTATGCGAGAATGAAATAGGGATATAGATGATATAGGGACCGACGGAAAGTAGCGTCTTATGCGGGAGCGTCTTAAGCGAGTTTTACTGTATTTTATATGCCCTGTGAGAGCAATAACAATTAACAACCCAGCACCAGAGAATTATATAAATTATAGAAGATAATTTATTGATAATTTGAACATGGGTTGAGAAAATTACATTTCCATATGTTGAAGAAATGTTCCTGTTTTCTAATTTCTCGCTTTGCTATTGTGCACTTTCTGATAATCAATCAGTGCGCTTTGAATGTGCATAACATTCTTGGTAGGCTCGTTAACCATTGACAATTATCTAAATTCCATGTACATCTATTATATTTAATCAATGAACAAACTTTTGTGTGGCGCCACAGTCGAGTAGAGCGAATGGATTCCTTCGGGTATTATCACAGCCAATGCGGTACCGACCAGGAGGCCAGCTCCGAATAGGGACACTAGTTCCAACTTGGCCTACAAAAACACAATATATAGGTAAGTGATATCGCGATGGGCTCCTATGCGCGACCGTGGACTGTACTCACTTCTGACATGGACATCACTAGCGGAACGCTGCCCGACAAGTAACTGGCCACCAACATGAGGACGGACAGCAGCATCAGGAACGTTGATTCGTCCATGGCGGCGATTGTCAAATGAAAACAATCACAGACTTAAAAATAAATCTCACAGGTGCATTCGGTCGTGTTGGCTTCAAACCGACAACTGTGTAGAGCGCCTATCGTGGGATTTCGTTTTCTCTTCGGGAGCGCATAAAACATGTTTACACATTCAGGTGGTTGTTTTGTTTAATTAACGGGAAGTTCAATCGCGACTAATTGTTGTCATTCGTGTAAAGTAAACAACAAACGGCAGAGGATAATTTTTTTTTTAAATTGTGCGACGCCGCTACATAGTGGCATGATACTATTGATACTGCCGATGTTATTAGGTCAAATCATTGAGTAATACTATAATACACTACACTACAATTATACTGTGACAATGCCTACATATATAATAACATTATCATACACGTCAGTTGTCAAGTATAATAATATTATTACTTATTAGTTATTACCAAAATTCACACGAGGAGGAACACATATTTTAAAAACATTGTACACGTACTGATAACTGATATCCAAGATCCAACATTCCAACCACGGTTGCCACGACGGTTGTTGTTTTATGTCCAACCTGTTTAATATTTCTGAATTTCATAATTTATTCTGTGATAATATTATTATCTTCAATCAAGGTTGATTTCATAGACCTTATGGCTTATACATCATACATGCTTATACTAAGGTTTCTATAAGGTGTATGGTTGTCTTATAATATTATGTTGTCATGGTTACGGCGAAGTTTTTTGCCTTATATCATAGAACAATACTTATACCTATATCTATATTGTTCTGTGCTTATATTGATATCATTTTTAGACTTTCAAGTTTCAGTGTGATAAAGACTTGAATAAACACAATGTAATAATTTCTTAAGAGGACACTATACCCGCATGCGTTGTCTCCGTCTTACAAATGTACAACATAGCAAATAACTGTTTGGCGGGGGATAGAACCACTTCGGAGCTTCCTCGGTACATATAGTAGAATTACCAAAATTCCACAATGCATAGGGAACAACTTTATCTGTGTCGAAGTGTTTTTATTATTTGGATAACATAAATAAAATTAAAGTTATCTGTTTGAGAACATTGGGATTTTTTTCATTTAATTATTAAAAACTATTGGTAAATGCTATCAAAAAAATAAAAACTCTACGACACAGATAAAGTTGTTCCCTATGCGTTTTGGAATTTAGGTAATTCTACTATAAATACCAAGGAAGTGGTTCTATCCCGCGAAAAACAGTTTTTGCTATGTTGTACATTTGTAAGACTGAGACAACGTATGCGAGTATAGTGTCCTCTTAAGAAATTATTACATTGTGTTTAATTTAGTGGTGAAAAAAATTGCATCTGTAAGTTGAAGTCTTAATTAAAGGTATTAAAATTTTGTAAAATTATGATTTTTTCAGAGTAATGAGTAATGACATCAATGGTATTTATCAATTATCAGTGGTGTGGAAAAGAAATGTATACAAATTACAAAGTATGATATTATAGTGGCTTAGATGGCTAAGATTTTTGACTTGAGTAGGTATGGAACAAGTAGTTCCAGTAAATGGACAAGGGGGAGTGAAACAGTCATTTAATTCCAGAGATGGAAATCGTTTTTAAAAACGTTATTTTTATAAATTGTTTTTGATTCATGATTTTAAAAACGTTATTTTCCTATTGTTTCCAAATAACGCTTTTGGTACTAATGTTTTTCTTTTTTTTTATAATAGTAACGCTCCTTATAGAAATGCACTTACAAGTTAAAAAGGTGCTCTGCTGTACAGTAGGTTACAAGTGAGTCACTGTATAATGGATGGTATTAAATTTGAATTCAATGATATAATATCATTGTATAAGAAGAACGGTTCTGAGCGGAGACTTTATGTCAGTCTAGGTTTAAGACATATTATTATATACTTATCTATGGACTATGGTATTAAAAAAAATTGACCTATAATAGGTACCTATAATAAATTCAAAATTAATCATATCACAACATTCATTAGGTAGTTATAACTTATAACGCGTTATACATCAATAACAATCCGTGATACTATCATAGATATATAATAGTACACTTTAGAAGTTTCAAGTACCCACGAATAATTTTAGATAATCACAACAAAATAACTAAAATAGTTATTTTAGGTTTTTTATTATGTAATTTCGTATTTTCGTCCAAATTTGAACTTAAAATGGCTATAAAAATAAACTGTGCTTATGTAATTTTAGATTTTTTGGTAACAGAATAAAATACTTACGTGGAATCTTGTTTTAAATTTTCAATCCTTAGATACAAAAGTTGAATATTTTATAAATTATTATCTACAAAATAATTATTCAATAATAAATTTGATACATTTTGTGAAAATTTGATCTTTGAATGCTTATAAAAAAAAATTGTGCCTATGTATTTTTAATATTTTTCAACTGCTATTGTAACAATATATCAGGAGCTTTGCATTAAATTTACATGCTTCTTTACATAACAAATACAATTTTATTGATATTTATAGAAAAAAAAACTAAAAAAATTGAAATCTGAAAATGTCCGTAAACAGCTCAAAAAGAGTAAAAATATTTTCAAAATTGTATGGTGTATAGGAAATTCTAATATAAACATTTAGTGAAATTTTCAAGTATCTACAGTCATTTGTTTTTTAATTACAACAAAATAAGAAAATCGTTACATGAGAAATCGAGTGAATATCAAATGTTGTAAAAATATGAATTTCAAATGCTCATAAAAATTTCATTTCACTTTCCGGTTAACATTTTTTTTTCGATAAAGGTAGACAATTGTATGAGGAATCTTGTATTACATTTTAAAATCTTAGATTTAAAAAGAAAATTTTTTATGAATTTCTAACTCAAAATAATTTGTAAATGTTAGTAATTTTTACGTATTTTGTCAATATTTGAACTTTAAATGCTTATAAAAAAAACTGTGACTAAGGATTTTTAATATTTTTCAAATGTCATTGTAACAACATATAGTTCTCACTCCTTGTAATAAATTTTCAAGCTTTTTTAACCAACAAATAACATTTTATTGATATCTTTAAAAAAAAAATGGAAAATGAAAATGTTCCTAAACAGTTCAAAACAAATAACAATATTTTTAAAATATCGTGTATAGAAAATGCTAATATAAACAGTCAGTAAAAATTTCATGTATCTACGGTCATTTTTAGAGTTACATCAAAAACCAAAAGAGATTTTCTCGACAACAGATTTTGTGTAAAAATTCACGTTTCTCCTTAATTTTTCTTTTGTATTTCACTGCGCTTTTGAAAACTACTGGAAAATTTTTACTTTTGAACCCCCTAAAGTACCAACTAGATTCACTTTCCTATCAGAAAAGATACTGTTGAAGAAAATCTAAGCATTTTTAGTGTCCTAAAAAGTGATGACAGACACAAAAAAAAAATTAAAAAAACACATATCATTGTTAATTCAGTATATTCATCGTTCCACTCAGAATCTAAAATGATACACACAGGGGTTAAAGTGAGGGGGGGGGGGAGTGGGGGACTCAGGAGGATTCAGTCCTCCTACCTCTGACGGCGATTAAAAAGCGTCCCCCCCTTTAACAAATAAGGATTTTATACATTAGACATTATACATAAAATTATATATGGAATGCTTAAAACTATATGGAGACATTAGTCCCCTCTGGAATTTTTTCCCATTTTAACCTCTGGATACTCATCGTTTAGTGTAGCGTGGATTATATCATATCGACATCAGCGCTCAAAGTGTAAAGAGAAGTGGTGAACTCATGATACAAAAACAAGGTATGATCCATAGACAAGAATTATCCTTAACTATCCTTCGGTAAGCATATGACGTAGCGTAGTATATAGGTAGTAGTATAAATATGATAATACGGGTAAGCGAGTGACAATGTGACATATTGTGCGGACTTGGACCATATCTGGACTTTTGAGATCATAGTATCATACCATGTTGATTATATCATGGGTGAACTGGTGAGCATATTAACATATTAACATAAGACGAGTGGAGCACATAGTAGGTAGGAGTGGGGGCGTTATTTATTAGTTATTACCATAGACATATTAATAAATATGTATAATTAATATTTTATTATTTTATTAATATGTCTATGGTTATTACTGATATATAGAATATTATATCAACTTGCTATCAGCTGGTGAATCATGCACTATGCTTTCATTTAATGGTATAAATAGAATTTGAACACAATAATATTGCATTAGCGAATGTCAATTATTATTGAAAAATGACAGTTTATCCAAAACAATGAAAAAAATAAACATTTTTTAAATTCTTAACTTAATGAATATATTAATAAAAAATGTTGGTTAAAAAGAAGCAAATCTTCTATCAGTGGTGTACATTTTTGAAATTTTCTCCCTATTATATACACATAACACATGGTCAAAAATGAATTAAATTTCAAAATTGCATTAATTTAATCGTAACATAGAGCGTCTGTTTTCTCAATTTTTAGGTTAGTTCGTTTCTTGAAATTAATATTCGGCCATAAACCATATCTTCTTTGTCTATGGGCATATCCCAAGACCCAAAGCCATCTATTTCCTAACATGTTTCTTTGTAGCTGAGCTATATACTTATCTATGCTGGGTCCTGACTCCTGAGTGCTGAGGCTGACTGCCTGACGGCCGTTTTCAAAGATTTTAACTTGTCTTGACTGTTGTTCGTTGTTAATTCACTATTACAATTATTATATATTTGCTGAGTTATTTAACCTAACATTATTCACAAATCACAAATATTTGATCAGTGCGAAGTGAGCTGTGAATGTTTGAATAGGCACTCAAGGTATTACTTGTATGATTGCACCCATATTCGTATCTCGAACAGTACACCCCGTATTGGCTGTTCTTTTCAAGTAAGTATTTGTTTATTACTGAACTCTTAACTTCGGTTACACAATTTCTTGTAGTTTTTCATTTAATAGCCTGTTAATATTAACATTTTTGTTAAACATCTATTACCTGGTAGGTAGCTGTTTAATAATATTACACTCAGGATGTCCCAACCATTTCGTCAACTTTTTATGAATCTAGGAAAAAAAGGCCCTAACAACATTCATCGGAAAAAAAGCCCCTTTACCAACTAAATAAATACATTATTCTTTTTTATTATGATTTGCATAATTAAATTTAATCATAATATAATCATTTTTTTAAACATTTATCCATAACCATAAATATAATATATAGTATAAAATACTAGTACAATAATTTGTATGTACTTTTATAGTTTTATGTCATAATAATATTTAATAAACTAATACACCTAACATTAATCAATTGATGTTAATAATTGTTTTTCATTAATTATTAAATTATTATATTATATTATTAATTATTTTGCATTTAATTTATTAGGTACACTAGGTAATACATTTATTTTATTAAACAGTAACTATAATAAAAATGACATCTAGTTATTACACAAAAATAATAACACCGGTATCTTTTAGTTTAACAAGACATTTTTAGGTACAAAATAATAAATATTAATAATATCCCCTCTGGGCTCTGTATTTAATTTTAGTTATCACTTGATTAGATAAACTGATAACAGATAACGTTAAGAAAAATTAAGAAATGAGGGGATTACTCATTTATACTGGTACAACTGCTTTGAAAAATGATACTGGTAAAGCAAATATTTTAAACCGGTATCTCAAACAAATTTCTTTACTTTATACCGGTATTTATTTTAAGGGGAAATGTTCAAATGTATACCGGTATGGACCAACGAATTTCTAGAAGTCTAGAACACATCCACGATGGGAACACATTGTGAACACATCATACAAATTTCTAGTTCCATAAGTATCCACTAAGACGGCGCTAGTTTAGCTGCTAAAAAGGAAAATATCCCCCCGAACTCCGCCTGTTGTACTACATTTCGTAGTCAACCCCCCACACCCTCCAACCATGTCGTGTCCAGTCCGTGGTTATCACTTATCGGTGTTCAACCGCTTTTTCGTTTGACGCTTATCCTTGCTATCTTTCCACTTGCCAGTAGTAACTTGTCGTTGTCCATCCAAGTGTCCAAAGTCTGAGACTGCATTTCAGCAAATACTATATACGATAATACAGGACACTGGCATATAAAAACTGGCGAATTATTTCTTATCATTGCCCCGCGAGATTGTTAATGTAGTTGCCTATTTTACTCCTTGAAATGTTTATAAATACAAATTAATTTAGAACACCGATTTCATTTTATTGTTTATTTTCTAATGCCAAATGCCAATCAACGATTATAATTTTTAATTAGAAATATTAAATTATTTAGATTTTAGATTATATAGTATTTGCATATTTACACATACTTAAAATCTCCATAAGTTCATAAATCCTATTGGGAAATACGATACCTAAACAATATAATGTTAAATGTAAGCTTTATAGTAGGTAATAATTAAATGTAATTCAAAACATATATTATACTTATATATTTTACTTTTTTCATAATAATTATACAACACAAATCAAAATATGAAATTATAACATAAGTGCTTAAAACTGATGGTGCTTAAAACTGAATATCTCTTAATAATAATTTTTCAATTAAATAAACATTGTAGGTACTCAAACGTGAACTACTTTTTTCAACTTTTTATTTTTTGAACATTTATATTGGTTGAATGAATCATTGCATTTCTTCACATAGCAATTAATACTCACATTTAAAAATTTATCCAAAAATTTATCCAAAAATTGAGAATTGCAGTCTTCACATATACTTAGTGAGTACCTTTTACAAATATGGCTTATAATAAGTTTAAGATCCTTTTTTAAATTACATTTTTTTTTTAGAATAAGGTTTTCAATGTTTGCATGAAAAAGTGCAGAAACATGTTTAGTAAATTCCAATGTTTTGGCAAGAGGATAAAGTAAACTGCAGCCATCAATTCCTACCGAGGAACTTGATAAATGATAATATTTATGATAAAAAACAAACAATATTACTATAATATTAGTAATTTAGTATTATAATAATATAATCGTATATAGTATTTGTAATTAATATTCAAAAAAAGCGGGAATTTATACCAGATTAAGGGGTAAAATAGGCAACTTTTATAACAATCTCGCGGGGCAATGATAACAATTTGTTCGCCACTATTTTAATACAGAGTGTCCTGTATTATCGTATATAGTATTTGATTTCAGTCATCAGTATTGAATATTTACTTTAGTATTTATTTCAACTTGAATGTCGAGGTTACTATAGGTTAGTACTTACTACTTAGCAAGTACTGGCTACTGGGTTGTAGCAAGTGCCGAGTACTATATAAAATTTAGATTTGTAACACTTTAACTACGTCGTTTATAATATTTTAATATTGTTTCCAGATTTTCAGAGTAAGTACCTACAGAAAAATGGATTTCATGTCCACGGATTTTGATCTCGCTGAAAATGTATTTTATTTCCACAACGCCGAACTTCAAAGTTTGGCATTTGTGCTTGACTGGGATACAAAAGAAAAATTCTACTTTAACCTTTTAAGTGTATGTATAGTTATTGTTGTACCTACCAATAGTCAGGCCCCCATATAAAATGTTTGGCCCCTGTACTAAATATTTTTGCAGGCCCTATACGGCTATACAAAACTTTCAATAATAAAATACAACTCATACACGGTAATTTATAAGTAATCAATGGTTAACCCGCAGCATAAAATATTATTTAATATAAAATAAGTATATGTAGGTACCAATAAAAATTCCAAATTAATTTCAACTGCCCCATAAAATAGCCGGGCCTCTGTAATCCAGGCCCAACCCACCCCCTCCCCCTTGTGGGGGCTCCGCCAATATTATTTTCTATCATAAATAATATTTATATATAGCGGACATCGCTGGCTGTTACAATTTATGTGTAAAATGGATTGATTCAAGTTATAGTCTATAATACAAATAAAGGGTAAACTGTATAGTACGAATTGACTTCTATATGGAAGGGAGGCTTTAATACAAAATAATGGTAAAATGTCTGTTTAGTTTTTACTTTTGTTTTATAATGTTATATAGTATATCACATAATTTCTAAATACCATTTCAGGTTCAGTATTTTCAGAAGTTTCATCAATAAATGTTTTTTTTCTTTTTAATTACAAATTAATTTCAACGGGCCTGCGGGCCCTTAAAATAGCCAGGCTCCTATATAAATATAAAATAACAAAATATAATTGGAATTTATATTTATTATATCTACAGAGAATTTTATTGTCTAACCGTTATATTCACAGAATATCAACTCTCGTTTTATGTTCTTATATTTCTAAAATATTAAATCGTTTAATTTTAAAACCGGTTAACCACTTAGCCAAAAAAAAAAAAACGGTTTCGGTTTTTGGTTACCGTTCAAATAATCATGGGTTTCAATCTCGGACTTGAAGACCGCTCTCTTGTTTTATTGCTCCCTCTCAGGTTACGGTTAAAATAAATCATGAAACCCGATTATTAAACAGGTTTCCTAAAACCGGTTTCCGTCCCTGTCATATAGATAGGCAGTTTATATAGAGTAGGGGTTGAACTCAAAAATATGGTCTTGAACCGAATTTTTTCATCATATTATGTCAAATAATACCACACAGCAGGTGTACACTGTGGTGCTGATAATTGCTTGACTGTCGGGGAAAAAAAACTGGTTTCATATTTTGAACAGAGTATATGTATTTACTCAGTGGCGTAAACTGGGTGGTGCAAATGCAGCACTTGCACCACCACATCTAAAATGTGGTGGTGCAAAGGTATGTTTTTGCACCACCAGAAAATCATTGAAATATATAATATATAAAGAGGTACAAAATAGTTATTTTAGTGCATGTATTAGACATTATCATTTAAATTATTACCCTATCTATATTCTAAAAAATCGTACAACCCCCATAAATAGTTAGATTATTATCTATAGTAACCACTATCCACAAAATTTTGTATTTTATTATGACAGTATCACAGAATCCCGATTAAAGATATTATATCTTTAATCGTGCACAGAATAGACGTATAATATGGTAAAATTATATTGCTATCAACATTCTACCGTCAAAATAGTGTTTTATCACTGGATCAATGTTCATTCAATTCTCAAAAGTCAAATGTCAAATTTTAAAATTCTCTACAGGTTTCATAAGCGCCAGGAAAAACAACATAAAAATTAAGGAAAAACAGGAATTTACCCGAAATCGGTTTTCGACAAAATCGATTTTGGTTTTTGACCAAACAAATGAACATATACATAATATACCTATAATTTAAATATTCACTGGTTGGGTAAAAAAGCTTTTAAATTTAATACAAGGCTCCAACTATATTGTTACAATGACATTAGAAAATTATTAAAAATTCTTAGTCACAGTTTTTTTTATAAGCATTTAAAGTTCAAATCTTGACAAAATACAGAAAAATCACGAAAATTAACAATATAATTTGAGTTGAAAAAATCATAAAAATGTTTCTTTTCAAATCTAAGATTTTAAAATGTAATACAAGATTATTCATAAGTTTGTATACGCCTTTATCAAAAAAAAAATGTCCACAAGTAAATCAAATTAAATTTTTATGAGCATTTGAAAATTATATTTTTACAAGATTGACTAGATTTACTAGATTTCTCATGTAGCGATTTTGTTAATTTGTTGTTATTCAAACAAATAACTGTAAATACATGAACATTTATATATTTATATTTTAATTTTCTATACACCACAAAGTTTTGAAAATATTTTAACTCTCTTTGAGCGGTTTCCGGACATTGTCATTTTTTAATTTTTTTAATTTTTTTTTTTCTATAAATATCAATAAAATTTTATTTGTTGGGTAAAAAGCGTGAAAATTTAATGGAAGGCTCCTGATATATTGTTACAATAGCGTTGAAAAATATTAAAAATACATAGCCACAATTTTTTTTTTATAGCATTTGAAGTTCAAATGTTGACAAAATGTATGGATAAATAAATAGTTTTTTTTTGTTAGGAAGGATTTTACTTAGAAAGTTGGATTATTTTTGTGTTGGAAATTATAGGTTAAGAATATGCCTCTGCACCACCAGAAATTGGACCCAATTTACGCCACTGTATTTACTTGAAAAGTGAAGTGTTTGAAATTGTTTGGAGATCATACATTTCTTTGAAATTTAAACTATATTGGAGTTGGGATTAATTACTTTGGAACTTTTTGTCTGAATTTGTTTCGGTTTGATTTTTTAAAACTAGGTTTGACTCAAATTTGAACTGAACTACCAATGCTTGGTTCAATTTTTTGAAGTTCAAATAGTTTTCGATTCTCCTCTATAATATTCTTATCTTTATTTAAATTTGCACAATACTCTTATTTTTGTTAAAAATATGAATTATTTTTAAGTACCAATTAGGTATAAAAGTAATACATATTTAATTCTTAAGTTTTATGAGCTAATGAAGTAGATATTAGGTACAACTGTATCATCCTTCCCTACCTATTTTTATATTCTATTTATAGTAACAATTATTTATATGTAAGTATATTAACTTCAAATTTCTGTTTTTACAGATGTCCTTTGCAGATGTATTTGATATCCCAAATGATCATTCAATGGTACTCGCGAAACCAGGACAAACAAATTATTTTCATGAAAAAATCCCAGCATTTGATATTAGATACATTGAAGATTGTTTTAAAATCAAAGACTACCCTGATCCAACCAAATATTTGTGAGTAGTACCATCATTGTTTTTTTGTTTTGGAGGAATTGAAGTCTAACAACATAAAACTCAATATTCCTAATAACTATAATATGCTCATTGCTCAAGCATTTCTAAATTTCTGAGCTGATTCAATTTTATAAAAGTCTATTATATTTATAACAAGGTTGCAATTTGCCTTATATTCAAATATATTATAATAATTATGATGTTTAAATGTCTGCGAAGATCTAGTAGATCCTGGTCGTTTCACCGTTACCTGTAATTTAGTCTTTAACAGTTTTGTATATCAATTTTAATTTTAAATCTCAGGTTGATGTTATTTGTACAGATTTCAATAAAGCGTTTGATTCAGTTAATCACAATGCCCTTGTTCAGGTCCTCAATGTAACTGGTATTGGTGAGCCACTATTGTTGTAGTTTTCGTTTTACCTATGTTATTGTTACTAATGGGTCTAATGTTTTCAGTAAAATCAAACGTTTATCTTGGAACGTCTGGTATTTTTCAAAGAAGACGTCATTCCCTGCTCCTGTTCTCTCTCTATTTATTAATAGGGTCTCAAATGCACAATATGATATTTTATGTTTTTCCTGCGATATCAAATTTTACGCTCATATTTCCTCTTTGGATGACTGTTTCTTACTACAGAGTGATTTTGACCATTTCACTGAATGGTTCAATTTATTAGGGTTATTCCTCAATGTTTCTAAGTGCAAAACAATGAATGGCCATGATTAAGTCCTCTGTTGTTTATTCATATCATCTCGGAGCTACAATTCTTTCATGTTTTAATGGCCGTGTTATAGATCTTGGTTTTATTCTTGGTAGTAATCTTGATCCGGGTAGCTACATTGAACATATTTGTTGGTAAGGCTTTTAAAACCCATGGTCTTAAAATTATATAGGGATTTTTGGTTAGGCTTATATATTGTGCTCTTGTAAACGGTACACCTTATTGTGGAGCACAGTGCTGTTATTTGGGACCCCACAATATTAATGACTCCTTGAAGCTGGAAAAGGTTCAATAAAAATTCTTGAGGTATGCAAGCTCTAAGTTGAATATATTACTTTTAAATCCCATAACTATGAACCGGTTGCATCGCTACTTGGTTTGGTTTTCTTGGTGGGACGAAGACAAAGATGTAATTCTACTACTATCGGTGGCATACCAGGATTCATTTTAGGGGGGAGATTAAAATTAAAAAGACTTATTAGGTCGAAGGCTCCACTTCCCCCACATCCCACGTATTACATTAACAAATACCATATATTGATATAAATGATTTTATTAACGAAAATGATTATAATAAGTATGTGTAAGATCTACAAGTTGTATAACACTTTTAAACTATAACTAATATAATAACTAGTAGGTAGTCTACAATGATACTACTATACAATGATTCATATCAAAATGTTTATCACATCATTTTGTGGACGTCATTTCTGGTTTAAGTTTAACATTACATAATAAAACAGTTTACGGTTAAGGTGGTTCCAATTGGTAAAAAAAAAAATTGTTTTTAGACCCTCTGCTCCAACAAGATTGTGAGACTTTAGATGGTTCGATTTTAATGCTGTACAAATAATATCATCTCCTCTAGAGAATGGTCAGAGCTTTTTTTTTAAAGTTTAAACTTTTGACAGTATAATATCACACACATTTCAGTTTTAACAACATTTTTGTTCAACCATAATACCATGTATTCAAAAAATTAATATTTCTAAGAAATTATTCGACCATTCATTAGAGGACGTGTTAATAATTGTTAGGATTGTTACAGAATCAAAAACGCACCAGCCTAAGTCTTACAATTTTGTCACAGCCGAGGAAAAGTAACCGTATACTTTTTTCTAATTTAATATACTGACATGTGCCTGCGAGTGCAAGAATGCCGGTACTTAGAATGTAGATACGGGTCGCGACACGTTGACATACATTGCGGTGTGTGTGCACACACACTAATGTTCATTTACACTCGCACACATTGACAAGGCCCGGTTGTACTTGCCACATAATTGCCTAATTTTTACTCCTTAGAAAATGACCGACTGGAACCCCTTTAATCAGGCGCGTAGTCAAGTTAATGGAAAATTAGTAATTACTGCTTGGTTTCTTAGGTTAGACTAGATAATTATATTGATAAATAATTCTGTATTTTTTTTCCAAACAATGATTATCATTAAATTATATTTATTTTATAGAATTAAAAACACAGGTACTGGAAATTATACAAAAGATGATATACTCGATTGTTGGCTCTATCAAAATAAATCGTGGTCTGATTTAATTTCAATTCCAGAAAAATCTCCATCTAAAAATTCTATTTCCCAAGTCACAAGGTATGTATTGTTGTTTTTGTATTGAAACATATTGGTCATCAACCTTTATCATCTTATCATAAACACACACACACGGGGGCGGACTGGCTACTTTTGGCCGTGGGTGCAAAGTTAATTAGTGGCCCTTACATATTTTTAAACTTACTAAAATTAGGAAAGAGTTCTACATTACAATAAGAGTTAAATTTAAGAAAGGGCCCAAAAATGGTAATCGGGGCCTGTATAAATACAAATGGGGCCCGAGGTGCTACCTTTTTAATAGCACCCTATGCCAGTCTGCCCCTGCACACACACATATATATATATATATATACACACATCACAAATCATTTACAATGACACTTATTAGTGGTTGTTGGGACATATTCCCAGCCAAACTCCTGTTATGTATCCTTCTTATAATGACTACGGATGAAATTACATTTATTTTTAGTGAATTTAAACAAATATTTTATATAATAACCATGCAATGCAGGTATTATCATCTGTTTATGTCGAAAATAAATTTAAAAATTAGGCAAAATATTAAAAAATTTGTGTAAAATAGTAAGTTTAATAACAAACTGAAAACATAGAAGCAAAAATACAACACTATTTCTATATAAAAAACTGTGTTCTTAACAAAAATAACAGTTTCTTTTGAAACATTTAATAAATAATAATATGTATTGAAAATACACTGTAATTGTTAATCCTATACACAATTATACTCTATGCGTGTTAAGATATTAACAAGCGCCGAGTATAGAGTAAACAGTTTGTGATAAAAAATATTATATAATGCATACTGTTTTGTAATAACTTTTTTTTTTAATGTTGGTTTTTATGACTTGATTATTATGACCTATTTTTCCTGGTTCAGTGGTTCCTTAAAAGTTAAATGTCATTATAAATGTTTTCTATATATAAATTTACCCATAATGCTAACTTAGATTTGGATACCCGATAGCACACTTTTGTATGTAATTTGTAATTCTATGATTTCAATTATTTTGAGCTCTGCCTATCTATCTCATTGGTCAAGACTTGTTTATAATAGGATTGTTGTATTTAAGTATTTTTCATGAATTTAAAAGATTGAACTATTTTTATATTTTTTATTATTTATTACCATTGAGTATGTGAATTAATAATCATCATAACTCTATTGTTAATATATTTATTTTTACTTGCATATTATTGACTATTAAATTTTAAATTTTAGTTCTAACAATGATTTTGATGGTACTGTGTTGTCTAACCAATTACAGAAGGCTTCTCCATCTAAAAAGTAAATATTATGCATTTATTTAACATCATATTTTATTTAAATATTTATGTTTAATGTTTATATGTTTTTGTCTGAAGCACAAGATTGCCCATAGTAAAAATATTATATAATGCATACTGTTTTGTAATAACTTTTTTTTTTTAATGTTCGTATTTATGACTATACTCTGTTCAGCAAGAGACAGCGCTGCACACCAACGAAAACTGGTTCCCCCACGCAACACCCTGCCATTGGAGAACTGGTTTCAATAGCATGGTGATGCGGACGGATGCAAAGAATTAGCGTGCTCTGTCGCTGAACAGAGTATAGGTTATTATGATCTATTTTTCTTAGATCCTAATATATTATTATAAACGTTTTCTATATACAGTGTGTAAACGGTAATCGAGAACACTCAATATCTTTACGTAGAGACCTGCTATTTGAATTCCGTTTTTTTGGCAGTTGTTATGACATAAAAATACACATTTTTATGGTCTTTGAATTTTTTTTACTTAATTAGTCACGCGCATGCGCATGTCAACTTTTTTTTTTAAATGGCAACCCCCTGCTTTAACCACTAATTATTTTTTGCCTATTTTTCTAATGAATTTTGGTAGTTGAATCAACTTTCTAAGTCCAAAATTGACCAAGTTACAGCCAATCAAAAATAGAAAAAATTAGAAAAAAAAATTGCCCTCGATTTTCAGCTTTTTGATTGTAACTCTGAAAATAATTATTTTAGGATTGTTAAACATTGACATTTTTGTAACTATTTATTACGGTGATATTCATACGTTATTTTAACTTCAATTCCTGAATAATTTTCTCGCGCTGAATCATGTTTTGTTCACGGCAGAGAACAGTTTGAACAATTTATTCATTAGATTTTTTTTTTTTTTTTTTAGATTTTTATTAACTAAATAAATTGGTAACTTAAATAAGAATTGAATTTGTTATTAATTAATAATTATTAATACGTTCTAATAGATCCATTAAATGTAAAGAAATAAACAACATACTAATTTACATTTTTCTGCTATAATAAGTTATATGATTTATTACACAAATTAAAGAGAAAATTATTCAGTAGGTAATTGAAGTTAAAATAACTTATGAATATCACCGTAATAAATAGTTACAAAAATGTCAATGTTTAACAATCCTAAAATAATTATTTTCAGAGTTAAAATCAAAAAGCTTAAAATCGAGCGCATTTTTTTTCTAATTTTTTCTTTTTTTTTTGATTGGCTGTAACTTGGTCAATTTTGAACTTAGAAAGTTGGTTCAACTACCAAAATTCATTAAAAAAATAGGCAAAAAATAATTAGTGGTTAAAGCAGGGGGTTGCCATTTAAAAAAAAAAAGTTGATATGTGCATGCGCGTGACTAAATAAGTAAAAAAAATACAAAGACCATAAAAATGTGTATTTTTATGTCATAACAACTGCCAAAAAAACGGAATTCAAATAGCAGGTCTCTACGCAAAGATATTGAGTGTTCTCGATTACCGTTTACACACTGTATAAATTTACACATAATGCTAACTTGGGTTTGGATAACCGATAGCATCAGTGGCGCCGAGACAGTATTAAAATAGTCGGGCAAAGTTTCCAAAATAGGCAATACACCCACCACGTACCCAAAAAAATTTTTTACAAATTAATGGGGGGCTCTGCCCCCCATACCCCCCTTAATAATATTCCTCTATTTACAATAACACACATTTTTATATATTTCTTTAAAAATTATTTAAATATATTATAAAAATTAATAATATAGGTACACATAACTTGAAACAGTTGTAATACTGTAATAATATAAGTACCTAACTAATAATTAATAATAGAATTTCACAAATAAAATATTAATAGTAGTAGGTAGTTATAAATTATAATATAATAAAATAATTTAAACTTTTAAATAAATAATTTTTATTTATTTTAATGATAATCACAGTAAAGAGTAAAATATTCACTAAAAACAAATTTACAAAAAACAATTAGATTATTTTAGTATTTTAATTTTTTATTTAAAACTGTAGATTTTGTCGTAAAGTTGTCTATTATTGTTTCTGAATCTAACTGTATATCAGCTTCACAGGTGATACGCATCAGATCTATCTTCCCCCATTGTGCTTCTTAAACGACTTTTTATTAATTTTAATTTGGAAAAAGATCTCTCTGGGGAACAGCTTGATACTGGAATAGTCACTCCAATTTTTATAAGCATAAATAAACTTGGGAAAATAGATTTTAGACCAGCTTTACAGAAATCTTGAAAAACACCCATTAAACTTGATGAATTTTGCCACCTTTTTAATTGTTCAGATGTAGTATCATCACTGTTTGAATCGTTAGAGCTCAAACTTGAATTGTCATAATTTAAATTAGGATGCAGATACAGTGGAAAAGTTTCATTAACAATTAAATCACAATTTATAAACTGTTCATACTCCCTAGTCCCTACGGCCTACGGACATCTTCTAACTTTAATAATGTATTATATACCAAACAAACAGCCTTAAATGCATCTATAGGAATGCTTTTAGGGTTTTTTTTTTAATGCTAGTATACGTTTGATTGATAATAAAGCAAAATCTTTCATTACTTCAATAGTTTTATTAGTAAATCTTTGACTGATTTGTGTTGAAAGCAATATAATATAATAGGTATACCTAATAGAATATATAAATATATAATATATTTATAACAATTTATATTTTGGGTATAGGTTATAATGGTTATATTAAAAATCACAATAATTCCTACATTTATAGTTTTACTAAATTGATAATTTTAAATTTTAAAATTTTACAAAATTCCAATACATTTTAAAATTATAAGTAGATAAATAATTTTTATGATTACCTGCAGTAAGAGTGTCAGTTAGTAAAATCTCACTGACTGATGGTATTTGAATCTGTTTATCATAATCATTTTGGCCCAACAGATAAAACTTAATTGATATTTATAGAAAAAAAAACTAAAAAAAATGAAAACTGAAAATGTCCGTAAACAGCTCAAAAAGAATCAAAATAGAATAGAATCAAAATATTTTTTCAAAATTGTATGGTGTATAGAAAATGCTAATTTAAACATTCAGTGAAATTTTCATGTATCTACAGTTGTTCGTTTTTGAATTACAACAAAATAAGGAAATCGCTACATGAGAAATCGAGTGAATATCCAATGTTGTAAAAATTTGAATTTCAAACGTTCATAAAAATTTAATTTGACTTTCTTATAGACATTTTTTTTTTGATAAAGGTAGATAATCTTATAAGGAATCTTGTATTACATTTTCAAATCTTAGATTTAAAAAGAAAAATTTTTACGACGTCTTAACTCAAAATAATTTACTAATTTTCGTGATTTTTCCATATTTTGTCAATTTTTGAACTTTAAATGCTTATAAAAAAAAATTGTGACTAAGGATTTTTAATATTTTTTATCTGCCTTTGAAACAATATTATACTAGGAGCCTTCTATTAAATTGTCAAGCTTTTTTAAGCAACAAATAAAATTTGTTCATTTGTTTTAGAGTTACACCAAAAACCAAAATCGATTTTTTGGAAAACTGATTTTGCGTAAATATTCCCGTTTTTCCTTAATTTTTGTGTTGTTTTTCCCGGCGCTTGTGAAAACTACTGGGAAATTTTTACTTTTGACCCCCCAAAGTACCAACTAGATTCACTTTCCTATCAGAAAAGATACTGTTGAAGAAAACCCAAGCACATTTACTGTAGTAAAACGTGATGACAAACACAAAAAAAAAAAAAAAAAAAAAAAAAAACACACATCATTGTAAAATCAATACATTCATCGTTTCACTCAGAATCTAATAGACTTTATTTATTTTTCCCGTACATAGATATGATATTATTACATGATATTATTAACATCATCGTCCACGGGCCAACCATTTATTAATAATGATAATAGCTATATTAATACAATAAATAGAATTATCATAGAATTGACAATAGTTCGTACTTCGTAGTACCCATACCAACATAATATTAATTATTATATAGGTACATTTATAACAATATTATATAGTTATTTACGCTGTACACATCACACAGGTCTTACTGCATATAATTGGTACCTACCGTATTGCTTATTAGTTAATAGTTATTATATTCTAAAATGGCTAACGGAATTAATTGATTACGTGTTATGAAACAATAATATAATATCTATAAGAAGTATAGCCTAATATTATTATTATTTACAACCACCCACTTGACCACCACCACCACCACCACCACCACCACCACCACCACCACCACCACCACCACCACCACCACCCAAAAAATTTGGTTGGGCGATCGCCCGACCTATACCCCGTGTTCGGCGCCACTGGATAGCATACTTTTGTATGTAATTTGTAATTCTATGTTTCCAATTTCTGTGAGCTCTGCTCTATCTATCTGATTGGTCAAGATATATTCATAATAAGATTGTCCTATTTTTCAGGAATTTAAAATATTTAACTATTTTATATTTATAATATTATTATTTATTACCATTAAGTACGTGATGAAAAATTGTAATACCTCTATTGTTGATATATTTATTTTTTTATTTTAGTTCTAACGATGATTTTGATGGTGCTGTGTTGTTTCGCAGTCCACAGAAAGCTTCTTCATGCAAACAGTAAATATTATGCATTTATTTAATATCATATATAATTTATATTTAATGTTCATATCTTTTTAATGAAGCACAAGAATTCCTTATTCATATAAAGAAGAGATGAATATTGTTAATTATATCATTAAGAACAACCATGCTTTAGATATTAAAGGGAGAGCAATGTGGCAACAAATGGAACATGACAACGTAAGCTATTGAAATGTATTTATAGTTTTTCTTGAAACTTGTAACAAGTCAAATTTTTTTTATATCTTGTAGGTATGCAAACTTCGTACATGGCAATCTATGAAGGAAAGATATTTAAAATCCATTAAATATAGTTTAACTTCAGGAAATCATAGGTTTCCACATATTGCACCAAAAGATTTAAAATTATTGCGACAAGGGTCTGTACTTACTTTGTTTTGTATAATATATATGTATAATATAATAAAAAATATTTTTATTAATCTCTATTTTAGTTTAAATATTGAACAAATCGATAAGGATGAGAAAGAAGCAATAAAATCCCGATTCAATGAAGAGCGAATTGATAATTGGTCATCAGACAGTTCCTAAGTCTTGGCACTAAAAAAAATGCAATTGGCAATAAAATGTATGCAGAACACACACTATTATGATAACAGAGATTTTTAACATCCTTTTCAGACAGTTGCGCGATCTGCCTATTAATGCTGAATATGGTGATTTATTTACATAAACACATCTCAATTTTGTGATTTCCATAAAAAAATGTACTATAATAATATGTCTGTTTAATATGTATAGATATGCAAATGGATTCTTACATACAGTTATACGAATGAATTCTTCAGCTGTATAGAAATCAATATAAGATAGTTATTATTAATTAGACATTAAGAGAAAATTAATTTTGAATTTATAAATAAAAAACTAAAATTGCATAATGAAAATACAATTGATGTAGGTACCGCTGTGATGATTTGTAAAATGTTATGCATCATTTAACACTTTCACTGCGTACTGACGCCAATTGGCGTCATAAGTATCATTCAGCAACGCGTTTGACGCCATATGGCGTCTAATATACATTTAAAATAAATGGTTTAAAATTCCCTACGCGTGGCTGAATGTTATTTTATTATTATTTAGCGTGGATTAAACGCATGTTTTTAAATATGTATACATACGTCGTTATGAGCAGTTTCTTTATATTTTTTTTTTAATTTCTTTTGTTTTTACTTTTATCATACGCACTGGGTGATAACTGCAAAAAGACATACGCAGTCTACGTGTTAAAGCTTCATGATATTGTAATGATGAATGCTATGATTATTTTATTTAGGTAAGACCGCAGTAAGAGGTAGGTATAGGTGAGTGGTCCTATGCAATATAGGACAAGCTTTTTCTTGCTAATGCTGCAGACGTGTTCTTACTTAAGAATGTATTTTTTAAATGTTTATAATATTTATTATTATTTTAATAAGACTTTATTTTCTCTATTAGGTAATAGCCAATAGGTATTACTCTGTATTTTAAATTATTATATCTATCTGCGTACTACATGACAAGCATTTTTTTCAAGCTAATGCAGACGTGTTCTTACGCTAAGCCTTTTAAAATGTTTATAATATAATATATTACATCAACGGCATCGAGCCTAAACCCCCGCTACCTGGCAGACTTACCCCAGCAGACGCTGGTAAGTATGTCTGCCAGGAAGCGCGTTGCTCGGGGGGCTTATAACAAAGTTAAAAAAAAATATATATACAAGTATGCATAAGGTGAAGACTTGCTAGGTCGGAGGTTCATTGGGAACTTCGGAGTCCGGTGTGGGCTCTCCTTCCGGCTGCCTGCCTTGCCCTTTCTTCCTTTTCCTTGGGGGAGAGGATGTTTTCCACCATTTTGTACAGCAGCCTGAAGGATCCCGCCGTGTTGGCCAGCATCGTGGTCTTCTCCTTTGGACCCTCGGGGAGGAGATTGAAATCAGGTTCGCACAGGAAGTCGGGGAGGTCGTCTGGAGGCCAAGGTGGGCACCGAGCTCGTCACGGAGGCTGTTCTAGTTGGGGCATACAAATGACGTGTGCTCTGCCGAGTCATTGCACGCTGGGCAGTGGTAGAATGCTGCGTTGTCAGCTCTTGCCATTCTCGACAACTGTGTCCACGCGCCCTTTTCTGTGGCGTCCCATCTATCTTACCAGAGGTCGATGGTGAACCTCCTCTCTTGCCACTTGTTGGCCTCCTTGGATTACCGGGGTTGATTGCGGCTCCTATCCGATCCTTTACCCGGGTCCTTTCTAGACCGATAACATCCGCCAGTGGCATGTCGGCCAGGATCAAGGCGGCCTCGTCAGAAACGGTCCTGTATGCTCGAATCACTCTAAGCGCGGCTGTCCTCTGTGGACGAATCAGGTTTGCCTTGGTTCTGGCGATGTCGGCCACTTTGGTGGTCCAGACTTAGGCCGCGTACAACAAAACTGGCTTTCGACCACCAGGGTCAGGAGCCTGCGCTTCCATTGGCAGTGATCCCTTACACTTGGCATTAGCCTTGCCAATTCTGCTGCCGAACGGGAAGCTTTTTTGGCGACCATGTTGATATGCGACGCGAATGTTCGGCGCCGGTCCAGAATAACCCCGAGGTACCTCGGATTTTTTTTGATCGTTATTTGGAGTCCACCGACCGTCAGGCGAGGCGGGACGAACGCGCGTCTGTTGGTGAGGAGAACGGCCTCACTCTTGTGATGCGTGAGCTGCAGGCCCTTCTGCGTCATCCCACTATGGCCAATTAGTGTATTTAGCTATAAACTGATACGTGTGTGGCAACCACGGACTAAGATATACAGGACTGGACACGAGATGAATATTGTGGTTACGAAATGTAGTACAACAGGCGAGTTCGGGGGGGATATTTTCCTTTTAGCATAACTATGGAACTAGAAAACATCATACAAACTTCTAGTTCCATAAGTATCCACGAAGACAGCATTAGTAATGCTAAAAGGAAAATATCCCCCCGAGCTCCACCTGTTGTACTACATTCCGTGGTCAACCTCCCACACCCTCCAACCATGTCGTGTCCTGTATATCTTAGTCCGTGGTGGCAACAAGCGAGTGGAACTTACTTCTTCATACGACTGGTCAAAGGAATCAGCTGAATAAGACTTACACACGTAACAGTCAGTTTTTGAGTAACGCATTACCATTATAGAACATTTCAGAGTATTTCTCTCATTAAAACACAATTACAATTAAATAAAGAATATAACTTTGAGCCAAAGTTATTTAGTCTCTTTCTTTTTATTTGTAGTGGAGTCACTAATAACATCATTTATAAATAAAAAAATAATGTCCTTGTACAATAATGAATTTTGTTTAGTACATTTTAAAAATAAAAAGTCGAAAGCTAATTAACATCATATATGGATGAATCGTCGATTGTGGTGCCCAATTCTCTGATAGCTTAGATATCATTTGAAACCTCGAAACTTCTATTACGACGATCAGCTGAAATTTTAGACTCTATGTTGAACTTGTGGACAACGTTGATCTCTATGATTAGAACTATAAAATATTGTATATACTTAATAGGTATTTCACATGAATTTGTTTTGATGGCAATTATAATCAAACAGTATATTGTACTTACCTATACATTGAATTACAGTGAATAAAAAGTGTGAACCTTTTGCAGCATGATTTTCATTTGCTAGTCCACCTAAGCTCATAACGCAAAGTAATAAGAAAGCTATATGATAACGTAGCCATGTCTTCACATTTTTCCCATCTGTGGGCTAAAAAAAACAATATAATATGTTGATAATTTTATTGATGTAATCTTTTATTCTCAAAATAGGGGAAAATAATCGAATAACGTGGAATATAAAATTATAAGTATTATAATTCATAGTTTAAGAAACTACATTGAAAAAAAAAACATGAACTCACTTTGCATATAATATGAAAGATTTTGAGTGTACCTTGCTATTTCCGATTGAGTACCTATAGGTACTAGGTCAGTGTGCCTTAATACATAATGGACGTGGTTAATGTGACTGTATATTATGTTAGATATATAAATATAATATATATTTTTAATATTAGGATATTATTAGGCTTCATCATAATAATACCGAAAAAGTAGCATATCAGTAAATTACTATCAAATAATTTTAAACGGTGTGTTTATTTAGGCTAGGAAAACTCATGAATAATAATATTTTAATTTATTTGAAATATTAAGTTTATTGATATTTAAAAACAGAGACATTACATTATAAAAATCTAGTCCTAGTGAGAAATTTGGGACTGGTTTCACTTCAATATATTTTAACTATTATTATCGAAATTTTACCTATTAATAATCATGTTGTCACCCTCATGGGTCACGGAACGCTGGTTGGTAAACACTGCTCTAGTAGCATTGAGTTGCCCATCCCTGGAATATCCAGATGTGTACCTACTTACGATTGGCGCCATTTTTTCCTCTGTTTCTTTTTACTCAAGGCCATTTTACTGCCCAGCACTTTTAGGGATTTCCACTTTACCACCCGGCATTATTAAGGATTCCCACTTTACCACCCTCCAGGACGCTTTCGGTCGCTTCAACCGCTATCGAAAACCAAACTTTCGGTGCAGGCGTGACAAAATATTAAATTGTGTGGCAAGGCTGGGAAGTAAACTATTTCAGTCGCTGGTGACTTGTGTGGCACTAGCCAAAGGCCAGGGCATCATTTCGCCCAAGACTGAAATTGCCTTCCCGCTCGAGCTACAGGTAGGTAGGTACCTACTATTTATTTGTCACGCATCTGCATTCATCGATCACGGCAAAGGTAATGCAGGGATCTTGCAACAACTAGACCATAATTCTACGATAACAATATTTCATGAAAGAAACTATTTGGTTTTATTTATTTTAAGCGTCACGCATGAAGGTTATAATATGAATATAAGATGTAGGTAACTAAAATTGTATGTTTTGTAAGGATCGTGATATAGATTTTAGTATAAATAATAATGGTTATATTAAAATAAAATAAGAATAAAAAAATGTTATCACGGCAAAGGTACCTAATGCACTAAGTAGGGATCTATATGTAACAATCAGATTATTCTATGAAAACAATTTCATGAACTAAAAATGCTTATGCGTCATGCAAGGTGGTACTAAACAAAAGTTTATGTTTAGTAAGTACCACGTGGTATAGATTTCAGAGTCTGCACAGGGTATAGGGTGATGACACCAGTTAATGAACACTCCTAGTGAATGAACAAACTTTACGTTTTTAATTATGTTAAGAATTAGGCAACACTGATGTTTTAATAAATATTATTGAAAAAAACTTAAAATTGTAGCTTTGTTGACACTGTAAACATAAGTATTTGATAATTATTTGAATTACTGATAGTAATATCGTTTATCAGTCATGTGTAGATATAGGTAATAATGATATCAAATGTCTTATTTTTAAAAAAATACTGGTCCACAGAATAAGGTTTTTTTGATCCAACCATTAGATTTTAAAGGTAAGTGTATACTAATATTGATGTATAAATGTTCAGGAACACGAATTTTTCATTTTTAATTATCTAAATTTTTT